ACACACACACACACACACACACACACACACACACACACACACACACACACACACACATCTGGTCTGAGAGCACTGGTTTACCCTCATCAAAAAGCTAATAATCCTATCATGCTCAGAGGAATCTTTTTTGGTTTGTTTTCTTTGAGGCAGTTTAAATCTGTAGCCTAGGCTGGCTGCCCTCCAACTTGCAATCCTCCTGCCTCAGCCTCTTCATAGATGGGATCACTATGAGGACCCTCATGCCCATCTTACAAGTGCCTTTATCCTCTGTAATAATCCTTCCAGCCCTGCTCCCGCCCAGGGGAGCTACTGAGAAGCTCCTGCCACTGTGGGCGGCTGGGGGTTTTCTCAGGTGTTACATAAACTGCAACATGTATTTAAAGCTTTCACTCTCTCTTGCTGTTTCATTAGTCCATGACTGTGAGATGCCCCCGTCTCCACCCAGGCTGGGGAATGGACCCAGGGCCCTTCCCCTGCTAGAAAGTGGGGTATCACTACACTGAGCTACCCCACCATTTTTTATTGCTGCTGGTTTGGTTTGGGTTGTTTTTTTTGGGGGGGGGGGGCTTATTTGATTGTTTTTGAGAAGGATCTTAACTATGTAGCTTAGGTTGACCTCAAAGCCTCCATATGCCGGCCTGGAACTTACTCTTTAGTCCATGGCTACCTTCAAACATACAATCCTCTTGCCTCAGCCTCCTACTTCTGAGATCTCAGGCCTACTCCATCCTGCCAGGCTACTTTACTTACTTTAAATCTTTACTTACTTTAATCTCTGTTTTCCCCAATGGTGATAAATCTTGTTTACGATTTCATTTTATATATTTTTTGTATCAGGGTCTTACTCTATAGACCAGTTGGCTTCAAACTCACAGAGATCTGCCTGTCTCTGCCTTCCATGTGCTAGAATTAAAGCTGTATACCACCATGCCCAGCCTTGTTTATTTATTTTTTATTCTGTGTGTGTTCACATTCACATGGCACAGAACATGTATGGAGGTCAGAGGACAACTCATAGTTGTGAGTTCTCTCCTTCCACCATGTAGAAGGGGCCGTCAGGCTTGGCAAGTGCCTGAGCCCTCTTGCAAGCCTTGTGGACAGTTCTTCATAGACTTATCTGCTGTCCAGGTATCGTCTTTGGTAAAATGTATATTCAAGTATTAGGTTTATTTTATTTTATTGGGTTATTTTGTTACTGAGTTTTGGGAATTCTTTATTTTGGAAGTAAATTCTGTTATCAGATATGTGACTTGGAAACACTATCTCCCAGTTTGTGGTGTGTCTTTTTATTCTCTTCTACTGGGAATGGTTTACTTTGTAGTTTTCTTCCATTTTTCTGCGTCTGTGCACGTGTACACATCTGTGTGCATGAATGTTTGTGTGTATGTGTACATGTGTATGCATATGTGCATGCAAGAGTGCGTGTGTGTGTGTGTGAATGTGCACATGTGTACTGCTAGAAAGGTGAAGGGCATGTGGGGCTTCAGCCTTCCAAACATTCTGCCACACATGTTCTTTGACAGGTATGGTAGAGCCCATGGCCCCATCCACACACAACTTCCCAGAACAGGCATAAGCAAGAAGCCAGCTAGGACGAGCTGCAATGAGCCAGCTCTGAACTGCAGCTGCTTTTCCCTGGTTCTGGCTTCAGCGTTCCCTTCCCACATCCCTTCCAGCCACCTGAGGGCACCGGGCCTCTGACTCCCTGGACTCCAGGCCTCCCCAGACTGAGATTAAGGGATACACTGTGATGTGTGGCTTATGTTTTTCCTGAGTACTGGGGACTCAAACTCAGTTCTTCATGCTCATGACAAACTCTTTAGTGACTGAGCCATCTCCCTAGCCCCTGTGGTATCTTTAATTTTTGTTTTATTTTATTTGAGATAAAGTCTCACTATGTAGCCCCCTGCCCCCACCTCTCCAGTGCACCACATAAAACCGGGTGTGGTGGTACACAGCAGTAATCCTAGCATCAATAGATGGAGGCAGGAGGACCCAAATGCAGAGTCATCCTCAGTCTAGCAAGCTTGAGGTCAACCTGGGCTACATGAAACGCTGTGTCAGAGAGAACTGAAATGAAAAGTTGTGCTGTGAGTGCTCTTGCATGTGCTTTTGTGGTATGTGTGTATAGTGTCCGAGGCTGTGTGCTTTATAGTTGGAAGCCTGTCTTCAGCTGAGTGATCATGTCTGTTGCTAGTTGTAGTTTTAGCAGAGACTGTGAGCACAGGTTTTCATGTGCATTCTGGAGGGCGGGCACCATGAGGAGCACTCACTCTGCCTACAGCATTTGCTCTTATAAAATGCCATTTCTGTGACATCTGAGAGCCAGCAATGTGGGTGGCTTGGGTGTGTCCTGACATGTTTATACATAGACCAGATGTTAGCCCAGAGCCCAGGTGGGCTAGGAATAAACACTTTGTTCTAGCTGGGCATGGTGGCTCGTGCCTGTAACCCTAGGACTTAGAAGGTGGAGGGATTTCCAGGCAAGCTTTGGCACCATGGTGGGTTGGAGCCTGTCTGGGCTACATGGAACTCTGTTTCACAAAAACAAAATAAACATTTTTGTCTTAGAATGCACTCTCCTCCCTCTGTTATCTTCTCATGTTTTATACGCACATCTCGAAAACAAAGAGAGTAACAACAGATACTTGACCTCCACATTAACAAGACAAAGGGAGGGCATCCCTCAGCTGGAAGCTCCTTGGCTTAGGTCACTCTTGCCCATTACTGAGGAAAGGGTGGATAAACTACTATTTCTGTCTTTAAAGAAGCCTCTGATTTGGATTTTCTATAAAACTTTTAAATGCTAAAATAAAGTCTATTTGTAAAACCAAAAGTACACACCATGAAAAATGATGAGGGATTAGGAATCCATCATGGCTGGAGTCCACAGAGGCCAAGGCCGGGTGGATGGGATCCTAGAAGGGGTTGCTGAAGCAGAAACCAGGGGAAAGCAGCTGCAGTTCAGGGGGCTGATGGCTGCTCCTCCGAGCTGGCTTCTTGTTTATGCCTGTTCTAGGAAGTTGTATCTGCACTAGGCTATAGGCGCTGCATGCATGTCAAAGAACATGTGTGATAGTGTAAGCTGGGGTCCTATATGCCCTTGACCTTTGTAGCAGCCTCCCCTCTCTCCTAACCCAGCTTTGCCTGGCTCACCCAAGTTTCTGTCTTCGTTCATGTTTCTTTCTCAGATGGCCCAGAGGTCTGAGGCTAGATGGGTACCAGGCTGCCAGCTGAGTATCAGGGTGTTCGGGCATGAGCTGAGCTTTGTGGACTGTGGGCCTCTGGGTGGCCACAGGAGACGCTGGTTTCTGCGTCTGGCTGAACTTGCCATCAAGCTTCTCAAGGTACTCTCTGTCCTCTCCCCACTGTCCCTGTCCCACTTCTGCCTCTGACCTCTCTCCTATGCCTCCTACCCCTGCTTCCTGTCCTCTGTCCCCTGCCACTTTGCCCTGTCTTCATCGTGTGTCCCCAACCCTGTGTCCTGCTTCATGTCTCTGTCCCCATCCATCCCCTTCCCTCTGCCTTTGCTTACAGCCCTCTGGCCCCATCCCACCCTACTGCTGCCGTTCTCCTCCATCCCCTACCCTGCTCCCTTGACCCTGGGACATGGAATTTGGGGAGGTACCTGACTTCAAAGCCCCCCCCCCCCACCGTTCCCACTTTGGGCCTGTTCTGGGTCTTGCTTCTGATATGGGATTTTATCTCTTTTTATCTTTTCAGTGCTGGGGGTGGGGTGCAGGGCCTTATGCATGCTAGGCAAGCACTCTGCACTGAGCCATACCCCAGCCTTGAAACAGATGTTAAATAAAACCAGCATACTTCCTTCCGAGGCCCATGCCCAGGACACACTGAATGATGTGACCTTGGTTGACTGAGACACCTACTGTCCCACCTGCCTAGCCGGCCTTTGGTCAATAAGCAGACCATTGTATTCCCAGGATGGCTATAATCCTGCTAGGTATGTGGCCTAGGACCAACCATTCATGTCCATGGCCTCATTTTCCCTACCTGTATCTCTAGGATGACATATTTGGAGGATGAGTAGGCACCCTGTGCTCCAGGCTAAGATCCCTAGCCATAGCCGTAGGTTGTCACTATGGTTCTCTGGCCACAGGGGCAAGAGGTGCCGGTGACCCGGAGGCTGAGCTTGGCTTTGGGGGAGCTCTTCTTTCCCACAGTGTCTGGCATTCCAGCCAGGCTCAGTCTACATGCCCTGGCTACTGTCAGCATCCATGTCCAAGGAGTGGCTGACTTCCAGCAACTCTCAGATTTCTTCCTGAGGGGTTCCATCAAGCCCAGGTAACAGACTTCTCTGAGTTGGGATGAGTGGGTGCTGAGGATGTGGGGTATTGGACATCATACGGTGCTATGGGGGGGCACCCGTTCTGCAGCCCGCCCGGCAGCCTGCTGTTTGCAAAATCAAACAGCTGTGAGGCCATTTTGGGTTATGAGGTCCCTTTACAGGCAAGAAGATAGGCTCCAAGGGATGAGGCTGTATGCCTCATGAGGGTTGCACAGGGGAGTCAGGCCACAGGCTCCCGCTCAGGATCACCACATCCTGTCTCCTAAGGGAGGTGAGAGGAGCCAAACCCAAGATCACCAAACCACAGGGACAACTGAGCAAGGGAGGGAAGTCCTTCTCTAGTCCTGCTGTTGGTGAGGAAACAGATTCCAATGAAGTCAATACAGGATCAAGCTGTGTGGCCTGGAAGGGGCAGAGCAGAATGTATGCAAGTCATGGTCTAAAGCCTGGGTCATCTGCTTCCCCACCCAGCTGAGCTGTCTGTGGGTTCTAGATGTGACTGAGAACACAGACATCACATCACATCACTGAAGTGGGGCTCAAGTATCCTGCTGTGTCTTGGCCCCCAGTCATGGCAGTGGGTGGTAGTTTTGCCCTTTGGAGGCTCACTGTCTCCATCTGTAAAGTGGGCAGGTGGCAGTGAGGGCTGCCACCTAAACAAGGAGTGTGTTTAGTTACTAGAGGCAGAGTGTGTTCCTAGGCATTTTTTTCCTTTTCTTTTTGTCTTTTAACTTTTTTTCCTTAGATACTTCTTTTCCCTTTCTTTAAAAAATTGTTACTTTTTTATTTGTGTGTGTGTGTGTGTGTGTGTGTGTGTGTGTGTGTGTGTAGAGTTTGGGTACAACTTGGGGGATATCTCCTTCCTTGTGGGATCAGGGGATAGAACTCAGGTTGTCAGATTGGGCAGCAAGCACCTCTATCCACTGAGCTATCTTGTCAGCCCCCCCCCTTCTCTACTCCCTCCTTTCCATCTCCTTCTCCCTTTCTTAAAAGCTAATTATTTAAAGTGACTTTACTAACAAACTTAGGGCACTAGTGCAGAAGCTCATTTTCCCACGGGGCAGAGAGGATGCTCTTGGTCTACAGTGTCAAGCCAATCAGTCCTTCAGATACCAGGATCAGATGGAACTTGGCCTCCTTCCTCTGAGGGTGCTTGGGGGAGCAACTGCATTCTTCCTTCCTCTTTTTGGTCTTTCGAGGCACGGTTTCTCTGTGTAGTCCTTGCTGTTCTGGAACTTGCTCTGTATGCCAGGCTGGCCTCAAACTCACAGAAATCTGCCTGTCTCTGCCTCCTGAGTGGTGGGATTAAAGATGTCTGCCACCATGCCCAGTCACTTCACAAAATACGACATGCAAAGCTACACGAGTCCCTCCGCATCCACCAATCCAGGAGAAGGGCCATCCTTCTTTTTTCTTTTTCTTTTCCTCCTCCTTTTCCTCCTTCTGTTTTGGTTTTTAAGACAGGATTTCTCTGTGTAGCCCCAGCCGCCCTGGAGTTTACTCTGTAGGCCTCAGACCCGCCTCTCCCTCTGGAATGCTCAGATTAAAGACGGGCACCACTGCTGCTCGTCGAGGTCCATCCTTTCTTGGCCAGTATGTTAATCTTTACCTCAGCCAGGCTCGAATGCTGCCAGACCATCGGTCGAGCAGAATAGACTAGGCAATTCCCAGGAGCATGCGTTGGCACATGATAGAGAGAGCCTGTGTGGTGGTTGGAATAGGTATGACCCCCATAGAATCATGTGTCTGAATGCTTGGCCCATAGGGAGTGGCACTATTAGGAGGTGTGGCCTTGTTGGAGGAGGTGTCGCTGTGGGGACTGGCTTTGAGGTCTCCCATGCGCAAGCTATGCCGAGAGTGACACACAGTTTTCTGCTGCCGGGAGATCAAGACATAGAACTCTTGGCTCCTCCAGTACCATGCCTGCCTGCATGCTGCCATGTTCCCACCATGATGAAACTAACCCTCTGAAACTGTAATTAAATGTTTTCTTTTATAACAGCTGCCATACTCATGGTGCCTCTTCACAGCACTGGAAACCTTAACTAAGACATCCTGGCAGCAAATTGCTGACCTGTCTTTCCCACTGTGAAGGAGATTGAAATCTGCAGAGGAAAGCCTCTCTTTAGTACCTTAGAAGAAGGGGAAATAAAAAGATACTTTTTAGAATATGGCAATGATAACAGAAATCCTCTGACACACCTGATTTATTGGCCACCAAGAACAGGAATATATTCTGTGGTAGATTAATGCAAATTAGCCCCCTTAGACCCAAACATTTGGATGTGTTATTCCCAGCTGGTGGAACTATTTGGGAAGGATTATGAGGTGTGGCCTTGTTGGAGGTATGTCACCAGCGGCTGGCTTTGAGGTCTCAAAGCCCCTGCCATTCCTGGTTAACTCTCTCTGCCCCCAGTTTGTGGGTCAGGTGTAAGCCATAAGCTACTGCTCTAGCACCATGCCTGCTTGGTTCCTACCATGCTCCCTGCCGTGATGATCGTGGACTCTTAACACTCTGGAACCATGAGCCCCAAAGTAAATACTTCCTTTTATAAGTTGCTTTGGTTATGGTGCCTCTTCACAGCAACAGAAAAGTAACTAAGACTCACTGAAACCAAGAAATCATCCAAAGGTGGTCCCATGTCAGCGGTGAGCCCTAAACTACCTTTAATCCATCCTTGGATGTTGCTGACTTGCACAAAGCTATAACAGTTAAAGGCATGGATTAATCATCACTGACATTCTTGCCAAAAGAACCAAAGTTCAGCACGTGCAGATCAGGACAGCTCACACTGGGAAACCCGGGGCAGGGTGGGTGAGAGGGGGGGAGCTCATAGGTCACCTGGAAGAGGCTTCAGTCTGCTAAAACTCCAGCCTGTCTTGATGGAAATGAACTGTGTGGGTGGTGAAGAACTTGGAACAGGTGAAAACTCTCAGAACAGCAAAATCAGAGAAATTATATGAGTTTACCAAGAAGGTCTGACAAGAGATCTGGCCAAAGACACTGCCTCCCATACACCCAGACTTGCAGAAGGGAATCGCTTTCTCTTGCCAAGGGCGACTGCTGTGAGGATTTGAGTGAGAATCAAGATTTCTCTGATATGGATACCAGCACTTTGCCTGAAGTTGGAGAAAAGGGACTGATGGGCATGAATTAGTACGATCCTGACTGTTGGAGCTGTGTCCATCTTTGCAGAGTGTTCCAGAACTGTGCTGACTGTAGTAAGCATAACATGAACAGAGTCTGGACCTATGAAAGGGTGACGTGGAGAAGTGCCTCAGCCATCGTGACCAGCCACTAGCGCCCCAGCTTCCTTCCCTGAGGAACTTCATCAAGCGTGAAGGGAACTGGGACTCACCGCTGACCTTCTGATGGTCTCCCATTCTGAAATTGACACAAATAGCATTAAAGCACTTCACCTGAAAATGTATGGAATCTTTTTTTTTTTTTTTTTTTTTTTTTTTGCCAAGCCATTCTTGGGAAAAATGGAAACTATGAACAAATCCTGGTGTCTGTGTGTGGTGGAAGCTAGGCATTCTGGGCCTCTGAGGCATTCCAGTTGGAACATTCATCCCGTCATATAGGCCTCAGGATGAGAGTCCCTTTCAACATATTACTTGTACAAGATACTTGCTTTCTGAAAAAGACAGCCTATAAATCATTTTTACATTACAGCTCTGTACAATAGAAATAAAACTGTTTTTTAAATTATGTTTATTCCAAACTATAAACACCATAAGGGAGTCATTTTGGTACATTCCTGAGAAAGATGTTTATATAGCTTAAAATAAAACAATTTTATAAGAAAAAAAATAATTCTGGGACTGGGTGTGGTGGCGCACACCTTTAATCCCAGCACTTGGGGGTCAGAGGCAGCTGATCTCTGTGAGTTTGAAGTCAGCTGGCTTTACAGAGTGAGTTCCAGGAGAGCCAGGGCTACATGGAGAAACTCTGCCTCAAACAAAAAGAATCATCCTGGTGCTAGAGAGATGGCCCTGTGTTTAGAGCACTTGTTACTGTTTCAGAGGACTAGAGTTTGGTTCCCAGCACCCAATGTGGGAAGCTCACAACCACCTATAACTCAAGCTCCAGGGGATCAGATGCCTTCTTCAGGACTCTTTGAATACCTGCACTCACATGTTCATAGACACACACACAAAACACACACACACACACACACACACACACACACACACACACACGCACACACACACACAGAGGGGGAGGGGATCATTAGAAAATAAAGTCTGTGCTAGTGGTTCTCAATGTGATTGTTTTTTGCTTTCTACATCACCCCTGGGTAGAGGGCAGGAGGCCATTAAGGAATGGCTAGTGAAATTGCAGGTTGCTATGGCTGATGTCGGTGGTAGTTCCTGGCATCTGATTGGTAAAAGCCAGGAAAGGCATCGAACATTGCATAATGTCTGTGATGCACTCAAAAGATTACTGGGCCTTGTGTGTCAATAGTGTGCTGGGGCTGAGGAGCCCTGGTCTGTGCAGTCCTGTCTCTCTCTCTCAGGATTAATGTCTACACAGCACTGGCTCTCAGGAATAGCTGGGGCCGCTCTCTGCTAACCACAGCTGTCACTAAACTTTCTTTGCAGTGTCCCAAACCTGGGGTTGGCAGCTGTGTACTGCAGTGGCCTGGCCAGGTCCTGGTCAGCCCTCCCTGCTCTCAATGCCTGTGCTCGTGAATTTGACTCTGCAGAAGCAGGATCCAGGACTTCAGCTGTACCTGCTAGAAGCTGCCTACACCCTGTACTTCCAGGTGGGCAGTGTGCAGTGCCCCTTCCTTCCCGCCTGGCTTGGGGATCTCCCCAGCATCTGCACCAAGGACTTGACCACAAAGACACAGGCTTACCTCTGAGGCTTTGAGTTGGCTCCCTGCTGCTGCAGGGCCTTTGTACATGCTGCCTCTCTTGCACTGGCTCTTTCCTGTGCCTGTGACACTCTTTCTTCCAATGCTCAGGTAACCCCATATTCTGTTTTCCCTCAAATGGTCAGGGTTGAAAGGTAGTTCAACTCTGACCACCTTAAATAGACCACATAACCCTTCCAAGACCATTCATGTACCCATATGATAAGGACTGATGGCTGCTCTCTCACCTAGTTCTGCATCTGGTGGGGATGTCTGCCTCTCCTGGTTCACAGCCCAGGAAACTCAAGCTTGCTCCTGGCAAGGGTAGGAGGCCCTATTTCAGAGGAGGAGCATGGTCTTCTCCTCTCAGGACCCCTGCTGTGTTTGCAGAAGGACAGCTGGCTCCCAGAAGAAGCCACCGCCCATTTCTTCATGGGTACACCCCAGTCAGATGTGGCCAGGGATGTTGAGGTGGACATCAGTTACAGCCTGCCCCAGAGGAAGTGCCGGCTCAAGCTGCTCCACCCCAAAAAGAAAATTCAGCTGGATGGTGAGGACAGAGCCCTCCCTGGTCAGCCCACCGCTGTGGATGTGGGCTGTGTCCCTGCCACACATTCACTCCCGGGTTCCAGAGCAAGATCTGGTCCATTTGATGGCTCAGGGGGTAGAAAATGGGTGGAAAGGTGGAGCCCCAGCCTCTGAACTTGGCCTTGTCCCCAGGGAAGATCGAGATTCTCAAGAGTACACGCACTGGCCACCTGGAGCTGGTTCTGGACGGCAGGGACGTCTATTACATCAAGGTTTGTTCTGTCTTCTTGGCACAGCTGCGTCAGCCCTGTCCCAGGTCTCCCTGCCCTAGCCGGTGTGGTGTCCTGGTCCAACAAAGCTCTCCTGGCCCAGCACTGATGTTGAAAGTGTATGGAGTCAATAGTAGAAAGTTTTGAGGGCAGGAGATGGCCCAGCAGTTCAGCGTGCTTGGTGTTCTTGAGGGGAATCAGCACCCACAGCCAGTGACTCCAGTTTCAGGGTACCTGACACCCTCTTTTGGCTTCTATGGGAACCTGCATGCATGTGCACAGACACAAAATAGATACAAACAAATAATGAACAATAAAATAACAGCAATAGAAGTTTTTACAAGTTCAAGGTAGAGAAAGATACTAAAACAAGTAAAGCAGGCCTCTCCCAGGGTTCCTTAAACACCGGCTGAAGTTCCTGGACCTGAGTGGCTTAACACAGTGTATCTGCCATAGATTCTGAAGGTTCGAGTCAGGCTGGGCTGGTGAGGCTTTCAGGGAACCTGTGTTCCCGAACCTGTCTTGGGCTCTAACTGTTTGCAGAATTTCTCAGGCCAGAGATGGCTTTCTCCACATATGGTCAAATTGTCATTCTTCCACAGGTCATTTCAAATTGCCTCTTTTTAGGGACACCTGTCTTACTGGATTCAGGCTAATAATCCCTTTTAATGCCACCAGATACAAAGACCCTGTTTCCCTCACAGGCTCTGGGTATCAGGACTTCCGCATCTTTTGGGGAGACTTGATTTAACTTATAATACTGCCAAAATATAAACCATCTACTCTGGAGTTTTTATATTGTTTTGCTCTGAGGTGCTAGGGTTACAGCTTAGGCCTGCTTGCTACCACTGACCCACACCTTCGTCACTGCCATAACCCACTCATCACTACCACTGATTCACTGACTAGGACAATGCTGGGACTTTTTCAGGGCCGAAGTGACCTGCAGCCAGCATCGGGCATCAAGACCCAGCGGTTTGAGGCCCAGCTGGAGGCAAAGCTAGTGACAGCAGGCAGACCTATCGTCCTTGACGGGAACATCACTTGGCAGGCAGGCAGCAGGCTGGACTTCTCTGCATCTCTGAGCCGCATGCGGAACGACCAGGCTCATGTAACAGGTGGGAGGGGCACCCTTGCTCTGTTGTCAGGGTCCCTATATGACCCCCTTCACACTGATGCCCATCTAAGGGGTACCAGCTCCTGTCTGCTCCTACCCACTCACCCACTTACCTCCTTCCCCTCACCCCACCTCAGGTACCCTAAAATGGCAACTTTCTAAGGCAACAGCTTTGGGACTGTTTTGATTCTAACCCACTGTGAAGAGTACATTTTGCTCTTGGACTTAGAACACACACCATGGTGATTTTTGTTTTGTGATGGTCTTTTGTAGCCCAGGCTAGCTGCAGAGTCAGTGGGTAGCTGAGGATAACCTGGAACTTCTAACCCTCCTGTCTCTGCTTCCCAAGTGCTAGGGTACAGATTCAAAGCACTGCACCTAGTTTTCTGCAGTGTAGGGGGATCATGCCCAGGGCATACATAGGCAGGCAACCTGACGACTGAGCTAAATCCCCAGTCCCAGGGTGTATCTGACCGTAGCTCAGCTAGGTCCACTGTGAGCCCTGCTGGCCTTGTGCTAGAGTCAGCTTAGCCCTTGGCTTTGCTCCTTGCGGTGTTCTGGAAGATCCCCTGAGCCTGAGCTGGAGGAACTTGGAGCAGTGCCTGTGTGTTGCCTAGTGTAGGTATTTTGGGGTTCTGTAGTCTGTCTTAGCTCTGTGCACCTTGGCTGCACGCCAGATTTACAGAGCTGAAAGTTCTAGAAAGTTAGATATGGCCAGTCACTCACCTCTCCTGTCCCCTCGGTTTTGTTTCATGCTAGTTTGCAGGCTTCCCTCTCTGAGGTGACGAGGTTGCCCCAGATGGTTGAGGTCACTCCATCTGTGCCCTGATGTCATTGTTCCTGAGGTACAATGGTTCTCTGAGGCCCCAAGGTGGGGACTGTGCTGACGAACGGCCACCGACACCCATTGCCTACTGTCCCCACAGTGTTGCTGGAGAAGAAGGCAGAGGCTGGGCTGCAGGCGACTACCCTGGGCGTCGAGCTGCAGGCTCCGGGTGTGGTAGAGCTCCACATCCAGGGCCTGCTGGAGCAGCGCGGGCCTGTGGGAAGCAGCAGCCTGAGGATCAAGTACAGCCTCCTGGGTATGGTCCTGCCAGGAGGGGGGGTGCACCCTGCCTGGGGGCTAAGATGCCTCCTTCATGCGGCTCTGCCCTTGACAAGATACGGCTGTTAGATGCCAACAACACGGTGTGTGTTAGAGGGCTGCGCCTGTCCCTCGAAAAGCTGCATTAAGGAGCACTGGAGAGCTTTCCCAGCTTCGTAGACCTGGGTTCATCCGTCATTATAAATGATGGTGTCCTAGGCTTTAATCCCAGCACTCAAGAGGAGGATCCTTGGCCGCATAGCCAGTCAGAGGCCAACTTATTGCACAAGACCCTGTCTCCAAAAGTAAAATGGAGGCGGAGGCAGGCTGGTAGTGTGCTTGCTTAGGGTGCCTGAAGCCCTAAGCCAGGCTGGAATTCACCCCTCCTTGGAGCTTGGCAGAGGCTGCCTGGCACAAGGAGGCAGGGACTCTGACCCACAGGTCAGGCAAGGCACGTGGCCCACGAGTGCAGCACCCACCAGAGGCTGAGGATGGAGAAGGGCCCCAAGGATACCCGTGAGCTGGAGCTGGTCCATGAGTTCTACTGCACACAGCTCCCAACCATCAGTCACAAGGTTGGTGCCTAGGTGGGGACTGAGGCTTTCAAAGCCCGGCCTATTTTTGGAGGAGTGGGCCAGCACATGGACATACAGCTGCAGTCGCTTCGATGGGTCGCTTTTACTGAATACCCACTGTATACCCAGCAGAGAACTGTAGGAAAATTTGTGTTGGTCCTTGCCACCTTGTTGATAGGCAGGCTACCTGAGAAAGCTCAATAATGGAAAGCTTGTGCCTGGCTGGGATGGGAGAGCTGAGCATTGGTAAGCTTGTCTGATCAAGTAATGTTTCCACTGAAAATTAAAATGAAAAGATAACTTTATTCCCATAGAATGTGTCCTGGGCAGAGGAATGGTAAGTACAAAGGTCCTAGGCAGGAGAGAGAAGAGAGGGGGCAGGAATGTTATCAAAGTAACTAGCAGGGCAAACAAAAGCAGAGCAGTGATGTTCTGTTGCTGTCTTGGGGGTGGGTTATTGATTTGTATATAGTCCAGGGGTTGAACCCAAGGCCTCCTGCATGCTAAGCAAGTGCCTGTCCACTGAGCCACATTGTCAGAATTCCTTTATTAGTTTGCTTTCTTTAAAAAAAAAAAAAAGATTTATTTTTAGTGCATGGGTGTTTGCCTGCATGTATGTCTGTGTACCACATGCATAAAGAGGACATTGTATTGCCTGGAAATCGAACCTGGGTGCTGTGGAAGCCAGTACTCTTAACTGCTGAGCCTTCTCTCCAGCCCCTGTGCCTGTGTGGCTGGAAGGGAAATTCAGATCCCCTGGAGTTTGTTGAGAGCCACCAGACTTAGGTGCTGAGAGATAAACTAGCTTCTTCTGGAAGAGTAGCAAGCACTCTTCCTGTTACTCTCTTTTTTGTTAAAGTTGTTTGTGTGTGTCTCTCTGTGTGTGTTTACTTGAGTGTGCACGTCTGTGTGAGTGCATATGCACGTGTGTATGCAGATGCTCAAGGACCCCAGAAGAGAGAATCGGATCCCTTGGAGCTGGAGTTACAGGTTTTGCAGAGCTATCTGATGAGGATGCTGGGATCTAAATTCTGATCCTTACGATGAAAAGATGTTCTTAACACCAAGCAGGTGTTAGGGCTGGAGGGACGGTGCAGCACGTAGGCAGACTCAGTGCTTTTCCTTCCTTCCTTCCTTCCTTCCTTCCTTCCTTCCTTCCTTCCTTCCTTCCTTCCTTCCTTCCTTCCTTCCTTCCTTCCTTCCTTGGGCCAGCCGGGCAAAGTCGAACGGTTCTTGAGTTGGGTGTGAGGATTAAAATTAATAAAATAAACACACAGCACACAGGAAACTTTTTAAAAGTCCAGACTCGACAGCCATGGCAAAAGGCAGGCTGCTGCAGCAAACAGTGCCAGCAAGCAAGCTTCCTGTCTCTGCCTCCAACTCTGCCTCCAGCCTTCTTCTCTGTCTCCAGCCTTCTCCTGCCGTAATGGTCGGCCTGTCTGTTTATTGCAGAGTTTCTGAGCCAGGGTAGAAACATCTCAGAACAATAGGTTAATTTGCACAAGGAGCTAGAGGAAGAGGTGTGACCCTCACAAGCTATCCCACCTGCTGTCACAAACAAAAGGAGATGGACTTGCAAGTTCTCTGCCATTAGTAAAGGCCTGCTAAAAGCCATCTCTCCACCAAGATTTAAATATCAAAGCCGGCCGCTTGGAGTCACAGCTCCCAACACTTCCTTCCTTTTTTCCTTCCTTCCTTCCTTCCTTCCTTCCTTTCTTTCTTTCTTTCTTTCTTTCTTTCTTTCTTCCTTTCTTCCTTTCTTCCTTTCTCTCTAGACAGGATCACTCTATGTACTCCTGGATATTCTAGAATTAATTCATTATGTAGAGCATTCTGGCCTCAATTGCACAGATATCCTTCTGCCGCTACCTCCAGAGTGCTGGGATTAAAGGTGTGCACCATCATGCCCAGACAACTCATTGTTTTTGAAGAGGACCCAGGGTTGTCTTCCAGCACCCACATTGTAGCTCACAACTATTTCTAATTCCAGTTACACCCTGTTCTGTCTTCCATGGGCACCGGGCACATAAATGAGGGACAGACACACATACGGGCAAGACATTTATACACATAAATATTAATTAATTTTTAAAATAATAAATTTTAAAAGCAACACTTCTGTGTATTAGAAACAAAAAAGGCAAAACACACTGGGCTTTCTTCATAACCTCAGCTCTAGTGAGACAAAGGTGGGGCTTACTGACCAGCCAGCCTGCCCAACTTGGTAAATTCCAGAGTCGGTGGGAGACCCTGCGTCAAAAGACAAGATGAGGCTGGGTGTGGAATTTCACATCTTTAATCCCAGAACTCACTGGGCAGAGGCATGTGTACCTCTGAGTTCCAGGACAGCCTGGTCTATGTACTGAGCTCCAAGGTGCAGGCACACACACACACACACACACACACACACACACACACACACACACTAAATCAATTATATGAAAGCACCTGCCCAGCATGTGTAAGGCCCTGGGGCATATCTCCAGCAAGAAACAAACTGCTTCCAGTGTTTGCAGAAAAGCAAGCTGATATCATGAGGAGGGGCAGGAGGGCTCAAGGCTGTGTGGTGGGCCTCCTCAGAGATCTCACTATTGGTGTGTCCCAGGTCCAGCTGCAGTACAAACAGGGCCTGGACCACCTACGCTGGCAGCTGGAGTCCAGCTACGGGGAGCAGTGGGCTGAGATTGGCAACAAGAGATTCCTGCGCATCAGCCAGACCTTCAGGAATGACTCGGGGCCATCACTCCACAACTACTTCCTGGAGGTGAGCCTGCCACCAGAGCAGAGCGGTGACCTTGTCAACCGGCCTCGATGGATGTGGGGGTGCAGGACCTTCTCCAGTGTCTCTTTGGGCTGTGGGGATGTATGCAGACACCAGGCTTGGTGATGTCCCTTAGCCACCCTCCGATCCGTGTCCTCTGTGTGCAGGCCCTGCTGAGGATAGCATGTGCCACCACACCATGCGCAGCTCAGGCTCGCCTTAAACTTCCTCACCTGCCTCCTTGGAGGTGAAGTGCAGTGGGTGTTGGCCCAGGGCAGATCTGAGGCCTGTAAACCCTGGCTGGAGTTGAGAGCTGGGGCATTCTGGGCTTGGAGTGGTGACTGATGGGGCACCGGGCTGCATTCCACAGCTTGCGCTGCAGGTCCCCGAGAGGCGGGTGGACTGCCTCGCACAGCTGTACCACTCTAGCCTCCGGCAGCCCCATGTCAAAAGCAGCACATATGTGAAGGTGCTAGTCAACGGGCGCTGCCCTTCATGGTGGCCTTGCACTGGAAGGACACATCTGGGGCCACCGTGTGGAGATGGGAAGGTGAGTACCAGCTCTGAGCCTCCTTAGCCAAGGGCTCCTTTTTTTTTTTTTTTTTTTTTTTTTTTCACTTCCAGGTGTCTACCTAGAGTGCGCATTCCACCTGGAACGCCTTTTCATTTATGTGCTGGGCTCACTCAAGGCAAACCTTTCACAGGGCCACCCCAATGCGTTCCCTTGTCAATCACTCTCTATGTTCTAAGCCCCTACCATCTTCTCCCACATCACCTCTCCCCATCTCCCCAGAGCCCTCAGACCTCTTTTCTGTTCCCTACACAAACCTCAGGATCTCTGTACTTGTTCCTTCTCCTTGCAAAATACCTTTTCTTTTACTTTTGAAGCATGTGTTTGCTATCGTTTGCTTCTAAATTAACCTGTTCGGATTAGATTTCATTTTTATTCAAGTAGTACAAAGTTTAACTTAGACTATTCATTGGGCGTTTCTGAGTCCGGGTTAGTGTTCCTGGGGGTTCACCATTGTGATCATGAAAGTGCTTAAAGTGCTTAAGGGCTTTTTTTGTTTCTTTGTTTTTTGTTTTTCGAGTCAGGGTTTTTCTGTATAGCCCTGGCTGTCCTGGAACTCACTCTATAGATCAGGCTGGCTTCAGACTCACAAACTCACAGAGATCTGCCTGCCTCTGCCTCCCAAGTTCTGGGATTAAGGTGTGAGCCCATCACCACCAGGCCACTTTTTTTTTTTTTTTGAGAAGAAGTCTCAAGCCAGTCTGGCCTCCAACTTCTCATGTTAGTGAGGATGACCTTGAACTTCTGATCCTCCTGCCTCTGCTTCCCAAGGGTTACAGGTGTCATGCCCAATTTCATGCAGTGCTGGGCACAGAACCCTGGCTATAATGGCAAGCACTCACCAACTGAGCTAAATCCCCAGCCTCTGAGGTGTGTTTACAACAGTAAAGCTTACAAAAGGAACCCTCTGCCTCTCTCCCAGCCCCAAGCCTTGCTCCTCACAGAGACCGGTGTGAATTGTTTCTGCTGTTTATTCAGATACACCTTTAAGAATGATACAGCCTTGCTGCCATTTCTAATGTTTCAGGAGGCATTCTTGATAGATGTCACACTTAAGAAAATGAGAATTTAATTCTCACAAGGGCCCTTTTTCAAATACCTGCTTCCTTTCATCCTCCGGAAAGAGCTATGTTTTGCTACCATTCTGCATTTATGTGAATTGGACAGTGGGCACGCCTTCCTGGCGGAGATGCAGGAAGGAGATGGTTATAACCCTCTGTGTCTTCTTGAGTTACAGCCACCTCTTTTTATGTTTGACAAATTTTCTGTTTTCTTCCTTTTATTCCTATCCTCCTGGGATGATCAGGAGTCTGAGAGCGCTATGGCCTTAATTACTTCAGAAGGTTTCCTGAAGAGTCTTCATGAAAACCTGGCAGTGTGGCACACACCATTAATCTCAGCACTTGGGAGGCAGAGGCAGGTGGATCTCTGTGAGTTCAAGGCCAGCCTGGTCTACAGAGTTCCGGGACAGCCAAAGCTACACAGAGAAACCTTGTCTCAAAGAAAAAACAAAACAAAAAAGTATTCACAGAGCCATTGCCTTGGGCCCCTTCTGCGCTGTGACTTGTCTGAGTCACAGCCCCTGCTTTTGTGCCTTTGTACTCTTTCTACATGCTCCTTTGTTCAGATGGAGCACACCCTCCAGTGGCTTTCAGGCGGGGGCACTTGTTTCCAATGGCTACTGTAAGAAATGGTCACTAAAATGAAGGTTGTCCTCTAAAATCAAACAGTCATCAGGGCCTGTTCCCTCTGACAGCACTTCCTCACTCTTCAAGGCTCTGGAGGAGGCTGGTCCTTGTTTTGCAACTGTTTTATGCCAATTTTTACATTGTCACTTGTCATCCTCTGTGTGTATGCGCCCACATTTCCTTCTTTTCATAAAGTACACCAGTTGTATTGATTTAAGGGCCAGTCTCCAGGATAGCCTCACCCTAACGAAAGCTGCCACGACCGTTTCTCAACCCCAGGCCCATCATCTGACCTCCACCGGCCGCAGCACCCTCAGAAACACTCCCTGTTTTGTCTTGTTGTTATTGTTTTAGCGCAGCTACAGCTCTCAGACATGAACTTTGTAGAGGACACTGTGTGCTCTGTTCACACCCTGGCTGACACATTGTAACCTCTGATTCATGAAGTAGAAGGGAGCACGAATCCCTAGGGTGCCCCTGGGTGAGCTTCAACAGGTGAGCGTGCACGGCAGTCCAGGTGCCTGTCAAAGTTCACACTCCTTTTATTCTGTAGAGTTCCCCTGTGCCCCACCCCAGGGTCCCCGCTTTGCACGGCTGCGGCTGCGACAAGACTGCCAGTCTCTTCTCCTGTCCCTCACAGCAGCTTCTCGGTGTGCTCTTGCAGGGGCCTTGAACTTGGACAGCCCCTGGCTCACAGTGTCCACAGCACACAGGCTCTACTGGCCACACTGGGCCATGTTCCAAGCTGTGTCAGAGCTGATGATGGCCAAGGCCTGGACTCTCAAGGATTTGGTGGTCAGCATGACCTGCAGGGGGCAGGGCCACGACAGGGAAGTCAAGATCCAGGTGCACACTGAAGCCACCACCTACCTCCGGGTAAGCTGAGCAGATTGTACCTCCGCCATCTCATCTACATGCCTGCATGTGCAAGTGTGTGCACGACTTTGCTCCTGTGTGTGTGTGTGTGTGTGTGTGTGTGTGTGTGTGTGCGCACACACAGGTTGGTATGTTTGTCTCAGTTGTTTTTTGTCAGCTTGACAAGATTAAATTTAATTGAAAAATACCTCTATCAGATTGCTGGTAGGTGAGTCTGTAGTGCATCTTCTTAATTGGTGACTGATGTGGGAGGTCCGAGCCCACTGTGAGTGACACCACCCTGGGAAGGTGGTCCTGAGTGCTATAAAAAAGTGGGCTGAGCAAGCCATGGAGAACAAACCAGTAAGCAGCACTCCTCCAAGACTCCTGCTCCAGTTCCTACCTCCGGGTTCTTGCCCTGACTTCGCTCAGTGACAGGGTGTGGCCTGAGAGTTGTAAGATGAAACACTTTCCTCCCCAAGTTGCTTTTGGTTATGGCATTTTATCACAGAAATAGAAAGTCTATGACAGCATCTGTGCATATTTGTATGTGTGTGCTATGTATGTGTGTATGTATGCCTATTTGTGTATTTGTGTCTGTGTGTGTGTGTGTGTGTGTGTGTAAGCATATCTGCTTGAATGTGTGTGTATTCGGGGTTGGCGGCAGAACGAGGGCCTCTTGTATCCTAGATGAGCGCCTCCCTTTGTTGTCACTCAGCACAGGAGCTGCGTTCCCTTCACTTGATGCCATCCACACACAAGGGAAAACCGGAGGCCTGAAGCTGATACCACCCCACAGACACTGGACTCAGAGTCCGGACTGCACTCAGCCAGGGTTATCAGAGCGCTCACCAAGAGAATCTAAAAACAACTCTAGAAAGAGAATCTAGAGCCCTGTGTTCTTGCTTAGCGGCTCCCAGGGGTGAGACTCTGAAGTGGCCAAACAGCACCTTGCATACATTAGGCCACCAGAATGACAACTTTGACGGTACAGCTGGCGTTATCAGTGACTCTGTGAAGGCGCTTCTCTGCCATACATGGCAAGGTGTGAGGAGCACTGTCTCCCAGGATGCGCTCCAGAGAGCCCTGCTCCAAGCCCTTTCTCTTCTGGAGCAATGCAGGGCCGGGAGAGTCCCGCCTACCTCAACCTTCGGGGCATCACAAAGGGGCACCCCCTTGGGGGCAGCGCTGGGTAGCACTGCAGCGGTGGGTTGTTTCTGACGATCTCAGATGATATGAGGAGGTGACCGGGTGTCAGGGACAGCCAGGGCAGGAGTGTGAGGAGAAGGTGGCAGCCAGCTTCTGTGGGCCAACAGCTTAGATGGGGCCAGATTACAGGGAGGCTTGGCCCATGTTGGAAAGGCAGTGGGTAGGTCTTAGGGAGGAGATAAATGACCTATGGTGACCTATGGTTTCCATCTAAACAACCGGCTGGAGAAGCTTCGATGGAGAGCTAGTAAAGGGGACATGTGGAAGAAAGCCCCACCACAGGGTTCTGCCATTTGGCTGGAGGGTCAGCAATGGCCATACCCAATTTGGCCTTGGAAGAGTCTGTAACAGGAACCAGGGTCTTAGGGTAGAGAACACTGTGAAGCTTGGATGAGGGACTGAGGGAAGGCTATGGTCCTAGGCCTCTTCCAACCCCAATACAAGCCACAATAATACCCAGATCCCTTCCAAGCTCTGGAGCCCACAGGGTAACCCAGGGAATGGAAGCTACAAGCTAGCATGGGTCCCTTGGAATGCAGAGATGGCAGGCATCTGCTAAGAATAGTGGTCCAGAGAGATAACAGTCCACCCTAACTCAAAGAGGAGCGGTGGATGGGTGGGAGGGAGGAAGCTGTATCTGCTTGGTTCGGAGTTAGGGCAATAAAAAGGGTTTTTCTTAAGGGTCCTAGAAGGTCTAGCCAGCCTGCTTCCACCCAGAGATCTCAAGGACGGACTTAGCTGGAGGAGCTTTGAAGGATGAGTAGAAGTTCACCAATCAGAAAGAGAATGAAGGGGAAGTAGCAGAAGGGACTAAATGCTTCAAAGGCTCTGCTCATGCACCTGGCTTCCTTGCAGGTTTCCATGGTGACAACCTTTATGCCAGGCCTCTTCCACAGCACGAGTGAGCTGGAATCAGCCTGGAGTGCCCCTGTGCAGAGTGAGGTTCTTGCTGAGAGCAGCCAGGACAGGAGGGGCCTGCACTGCTGGCTGAAGGGTCTCCAGCAGGAACTGAACTTCACAGTAGCCTACAAGCGCACAGAGAGGGTGAGCGCTAGGTGGCCTTGGCAGTTGGGAGACCCCGGGTCCCTCACTTGGGTCCCCTTTTTCCTCCCTGCTTGGCCTGTGACCTTTGGCCTCTTTGGGCCTTGATTTCTTCCTGGACACCAGGCCCTTTAGTACAGACCCATGGGGTCAGGGAGGTGGGGACTCAGCTTCCTTAGCACAGCCTGTCCAGATGCTGGTGGGTGGGAAGGGTGCCTTGGAGATAAAGGGTGGCTCCTAGGACTTTGTGGGCTGGTCAGAGGCTGCCGCCAGGCTCAGTAGCCATTCTGGCAATCAATCCCAAGGTGCAGGCAGTGGAAAGCAGTCCTGTCTCTCCATGGCGAGGGTCAGTTGCAGGGTTTTCCCCAGCACGGGGTCCTTTGTTCCTCTCAGTGCTGTTCTCATTACAGCCTCAGAAGACCTATGTACTGCTGACAGTCCTGGGGGCTGGCTTCCCGGGCCAGCCTGCAGGCCTGCAGCTGGAGGGTCAGCTGGAGCAGCTGCAACACAGGAAGACGTTGTACCGGAAACGAGGGACATTGCTGCTCAGGTATGTGCCCCTTCCCTGAGGCTTTCACCTCTAGGGAGCACATTCCCATCCCTCCAGCACCAAGTGGGAGCTCCTAAAGGCGCCCTACTACCACTCAAAAAGAGCGCATGGTGACAAGGCACCAGCTCCCAAACTCCTACCAGCTGCGTCACGAGTTGGCGGAGGTGTGAGTGGGAGTCTGCCGCTCGTGGCTGAGCCCGAGAGCTCCCAGGCATCTTGGTCGGGACTGTAGCATGGCTGAGGGAGGCTGGGGGTGCGGCCCAGCTGATGGTGCCTGGCTAGCATGCACAGAGGTTAATGTTCAGTCCCCAGCACTTTAAACTGTGCCGCCATGTTAGGCTTTTTATTTCTTTGTCTTTTTTGGTGTATGTATGTGTGCGTGTGTATGTGTGTGCAGAGTGTGTGTGTGTGGAGAGAGTGTGTGTGTGTGTGTGTAGAGTGTGTGTGTGGAGTGTGTGTGTGTGTGTGTGTGTGTGTGTGTG